TCCACCTGGATGATGCGACGGCAGCCATAGTGCGCCAGAATGCTCACCACACATCAGCTATCAGTGGGGAGGGGAGCAGAGTAATGAAGCCAATTTATAGATGGGGATTATTAGGAGGCCATGATTGGTAAGGGCCATTGGGAAATTTGGCCGAGGCCAGCTGTGGCTTGTGGCTGTGCTCGTTGTTCTGTCTGTGCCTCTCCTGTTTCTCAGGTTACAAACCCTGACACACCTCTGTCCGTCAGTCTTTGTTAAGTTTTGGTTGTAAGTGAAGGATATTCGATCAGCATGGTAGAACACTAACACTAGGGCCAATTTTCCCAGAAGACAATTAAAATACCAGTATGACTTTGAACTGCAGGAGGAAACCAGAGAACCCATAGGACACCCACATAAACACAAGACATACAAACTCCACACAGATAGCACCCCAGGTCCAGACAGATAAAACTATATGGAGTCTCACTGACTTCTCAACTGCAAGAGAATACTTCATTAAATGCAGTAGTTATATAGTTGAAAATTTAAATGTATATCAAGATTTTTTGTGACGTTAGACTATACAGTATATTAACCTCTTAGCCAGGGAAAGCACAAAAAAAAAACAACTACTCCATTATAATGCCAAGTTCTGTATACTTACAGTAAACATATTCAGAGTAGAGAAGGTTTTTATTAAATTAATTGCATTTTCTACTTCAATGTGAAAACACACTTTTACAACGATTAGTTTTTAAGTCAACTGCATGGAGGTTATCAGCCACAATGAGGTACCGAACTAAAAGTCCTAAAGGCCCAGAAATCAGCAGGTTTTCTACAGTATCTTTACATCATTAGTCATAAGGCTGTGGACAAGAGAAGAGCTGGTTTGGTTCAACTTTACCGGAACATTTAACCAGTAATGGGCTTGTTATGACGTAGAAACCTGGTAGAATATGCTTCTCTGTGCACTCCAGGACTGGGAGGTGTGCAAGGCTCTGAAAGATTGTCTCCCCCTCAAGTCATACTCAGCAGTATTACTACACATACTGTATCCAGGGGACAGCCAAGGATAGTGAAGTTCAACCCTTTGGCCTCACTGTACATACTTTACAGAGAAACAAGTAAAGGTTAATTCCATGCTGAAAAGAGAAAAAAAGAAACACAGCGTTTCAGCTGTGGAGTCTTCTTCAGGTGTGACACGAGGTGTGAAACACTGTGTTTCTTTTCTTCTCTTTTCAGCATAGAATAAACCTTTACGTGTTCCTTTGCAGCCTACGCATGCTGACGCAGCTCCCTATTAGAAATACTTTACAGAGTATTGGTTCTTGTGCCGGTTCACATTGCCCTGCTCAGTGGGCTGGAGATTCTCACTAAAATCAGCAAAACATAAAGACCTTACTCCAGTACAGACATGTTGCTGTAACCTTACATAAGACTCGAAACTGAATTTCTAGCACACTGCATTATGATCATAAATAAAAATCACTGAGTGTTCTGTTCTGACTCCTACAAACAAAGCGATTAGAGCAGAGAACAGACCTTTTGAGGACACCTGTCAAAAGGAAGCTTAAATGCTTTGTTTTGATCTCGGAACATGGAAAGTCTGTCACCTTACAGCAAGGTGCATGAGGGAAATGCTTCAGAAGCTAACGCTTTTGTTCTTTGACTTCATAGAAACTAAAACCATACGTGGCGCTGGGGCCTTGTTTTCAATTTTGGTTCTGGGGTGCTATCTGTGTGGAGTTTGTATGTTCTCCTGTGTTCTCATGGATTTCCTCTAGGTGCTCCAGTTGCCTCCCACAATCCAAATGATTGATTAATTGGCTTCTGAAACAATTGGTCCTGGTGTGAGCTTGTGTGTGTCTGTGTTTTTGTGTGCCCCAGGATGGGTTGCTGTCTTGTGCGGGGTGTACCCTGTCTTGCTTACCAGGATCGGCTCCAGCTCCCTTGAGACCCTAAATTGGAATAAGTGGTTAGTACGTGGATAGATGTTTTTTATGGCAAAGGCCTCAATGTGTGTGTGCATGACATGTCTCCTGGTGGCAAGCAGCACTTGTCTGCCTGGAATTCTTATTTTTTGTTTTTAAATGGGGTGAGTAAGCTACAGTTCTGACTTTACTGTCTTGTCAGGTGGCAAACTGGAGGGACTTCCCCTCACACCTACACTTGCACTTACTGTGCTCACTGTCAATCACAGTTTAAGGCTGCTTACAGCTCACCAGGACCCATTATTCATAAATTCTCTAGAATTCAAATAAAGTTCCATCCACCACCCCCTGCTTCCTCCCACCTGAAGCAAAGCTGTACTTCAAATTAACACACAGCACACCCTTAGGCAGCAAAGTGGTGAGCATGGGTGCCTTGTAGTGTTGGCACCCAGTGTTCCAATTCTGATAGGGTGCTATCTGCATGGAGCTTGTATGTTCTCTGTGTTTCTGTGGGTTTTCCCTGGGTGCTCCGGTTTCATCCCACAGTCCAAAGACTTAGTAAAACGTGGTAGGTTAATTGGCTTCTGGGAAAAGTGTGTGCATGTCTGCATTTGTGTCTTTCTGTCCTGCTATGGACTGGTGTCCCATCCAGTGTGCCTTGCGCCTTGTGCTTGCCAGGATAGACTCCGGCTCCGCCTCGGCTCTTTAATGGATACAGTGGTGAGAAAATGGATGGATGGACACAGCACACCTTTACAAACACAGCTTGGCTGGGAGCTGCATTGAACGACCTGACTTGAGTGCATTCTGAATTTACATATGCCCGTGATTTTTAAAATTACCTGAAAGGCAGAGATAACCGTACCAAGATATAACCTATAACATTACAGTACCTGATTGATCCATGTATGGAAATAATCATGATATAATAAACTATATTCAATAAAGCATCTTTAAAACTAGCTTCTCAAAGCTCTTTACAGAAAACAAAAATTCTCAAATAAATCACTGACTCTCTGACATCCTTAGGGATAGAAGCCCAGAGCTGTAATGCATGTAATGCAAACCTATGTAACTTGCTGAACTGGGGTTCCCCAGGATCAGGGTTAGAGAGCCCTAATTCACGGTGACCTGTAACACTAACTGGACTGGGGCTCTTCAGGATCAGGTTTGGAGGTTCCTGCTGTAATTGATGAATACCATAACTGATCATATTCCACAAAAAAGAACTATAATAAACTTTTTAATTTATAGCAATTCAAAATCTGTGCAGTGACTAGCGACCTCCCATACTAACTTTCACCAGTCTTTATTTGCCTATTTCTTTACACAGCTCCTCCGGTAAAGAATATCTTTCTGTGACCGTCCTACCTTGAGGTCATCTTACCAGAGTGGACACACTTGGAAAACTCTTCCTAGTGACTACAAAATCTACTTTACATTCAAACTGTGCTTTAAGTCAAGTCAAACCCCTCTCATTTCTCTCTTCCTCACCAAAAGCGTCTCATGACTTTTTGCCAAGCTTTCACAAGAAGAGCCAGCTTTGTTTAGGGAGCCAAAGCTTTGATTCCTCAACATTTTTTAGCAAGGCAAGGTAGTCTAAGGGCTGAGATCTCTCTTACCCGATTTGTACTGTAAAGCTGTCTATTGGAACACATGGTAAGGTGCTTTTCTCTCATGTGCCTTTATCCCACTTTTTCGAAATGCCTCTGCGATCACTGCAGGAAACTGTCACGATGACAGTGAGTCAGTAATGGCCGGGTCAGGGGAAAACCACAGCCTTCTCCCTCCACAACAGGCATAGCAGCTCAGTCACTACAGCACCACACAGACACCTGCATCCGCATTCAGCAGCTCTGCAGTGTCAGCTACACAGAAATTTGCTTAGTCTGGAATGACGAAGATGGAAAAGAGGCACATTGGCAAGAAAATGCCCGCTCTTTCCTTGCACAAAATTAGTAAAACTCACTTTCAGGCAGAGGCTCTTCCGATCATCCTATCTGATTAATCTGAAAACTTTCCACACGGCGTTTTCACTTTCAGTTTGCATCTCACAGATCTTTGCAACACTCTAAAAAAAATCTTTCCTTTTTCAGCTGACTCTGCATTGCTTTCAGAAACCCGGACTCAAACCAAACACACTGTTCACATTTCACTCATTTTATTTTAACAATTAGAGAAATGTTGACTGTACATGCTATTCACCTGCATTTGTGAGTGCTTGCTTTCAAAGTTAGTACGGACGACGGACAAAGTCCAATGAGTAGGCAGATGAAGCTTTCAATTAAAAAAATAACTCTTTATTGAAATGTTAATAAATACAAAACAGAAATCTTTCAATGAGTGGGTTCCAGCACCTGGTTTCAGTATCGGTTCTATAAGGTGTCTCCTTTAACTGGTCTGCAAATGCACAACCGACCCACTAAACTAGGACAGTAAAACTCCAAACCCGATTTTGCGACTGAAATGAAAACGCAGAACATTGCAGAAACTGAAAGCAGTCTCCCAGAATCAAGGGTCCTTCCACAACCTCCACACAGCAGAACCGTGGAATTTCCACAAGCTGGGTCACACGCACTGGCACGTGCTGTTATTACTTTTCAGAGGCCAAAAACAGTGAGAAAATCACATCACGGCTCTTTCAAGGAAAACGATGTATCCGCTGAATAGAACTTCGGCAGTTTTTATCTCTAAAATACCGCAATGACAGCTTAATCCTGTCTCCGGGCTGTTCTACAAAGTTCTATTGCAGGAGCTCCCAATCCTGGGTCTTGATGACCACACACCTGCTGGTCTGCACGATGTACAGTAAAACCAAAATATCTGCTGTGATTGTATACAAACCCAACAGGCCTGGGTGCCTGGAGGCCAGAGAAGACCTTAGTAACTTTCAAAGAGGGGGGACTGTTGGGGCTCGTTTACCAAGCAGGCCAGCTCAAAACAAATAATTTATATCTCCCCAGGTCAGATGCAGACCAATACACTCTTAAATCTGACTAGGTGGTTTTCATTTACAGAAACTTGTTTTATGGAAAGACATACGACTCTATTACATTTTGCCCGTGAAAATCCCCACACAGTGCAGTCGGGCGTGCTTTCCCATTTGAGGATTTCTTTAATTATTCCTTATTTCTTTTAATGGGTGGCAAATCCTCACCCCTTCATCTCTTTTTTCACTTTTTGTAAGTTGGGCTTTGTTACACAATAAAGAAATTGTTTAAGAAATACTTGCATCTCCTTCAACAAGCTTTGACCAGGTGTCAAGTGAACTCTCCAGATCTGAGGTGTGATGAAAAGACCCAACTTTATTACATTCAGCTGATAAATTCTTTACTACAGGAAGAAAAGGTTCACCCCTTTCGCCTCTGTGACTCTTATTTGTCCTTGAACAAAACACGTTTTATTTCCAAGTTCACTCCCGTTTCGCAAAGTGTAATGTACAAAACTGTTTCTTGCACGTGATCCCGTTGTGCGAGCAGTTAACAGTCCCAATGCAAAGGTAAGATACAGACATTCTACACCAATCTGCACCATCCACGCAAGAAACAGCATAATGCGAATAGATTTTTTAATATTTCTTAAAGTTTTCAATAATTTAACTTTATGATCCCCCTCTTTTCCAATGAAAAAACACAGAAAAATCCCATATCCAATTATAATGAAAAGTTCAAATAAAATCGATAAAATATTATTTCTGTATCAGTAAGTCAAGTAGGAAATTCTCACCTGGAAACAGAAACACCCCAAACCTAAGAGCACTTAGGGAGAAGATTTACAGGCTATTCAGTTTATCAGCAAGATAGATATTGTGTTGTAGATTAATTACTTGCAATTGGTTCATCCCATTCTGTTTAAAATACAAATCTGGAAGGACAATCCAGATCTTGTGCCGATGGGGTTTTCAGTATGGTGGTATCCGCAGTATAGCCATCGTCTACAGGACCGCATGACTAGTCAGAACAGTCAAAGAGTGCTGTCTCCTGGGAGCCATCCCATGATGCCTTTTGCCTTTGTGCAAACCTGCAGAGGTGTGTGAGTGTCCATGTCTACTGAGGTCCTTGGGTCAGACTGCGTGGGCGTCCTAATGGAGGGGTGGGCGCAGTAGAGGAAAGAGGGTAAGGAAAGGTGAGGTACAGTACCCCTCCCTAACCATTCTTGGTACGCACATACCCTACTCCAAGAGCTCAGACACAGGCAGCTGTACACACCTGCCCCCCCCCACACACACACACTCTAGATAGGGATGGACACGATGGTGGGGAGCTCGCCGATAGGTGGGGGGTTGTACTTCTCCACTCTCATCAGCCGACGGAGAATGTCATCACGGTCCTTGGGCCACCAGTAGATGTGGGTGTTCTGCAGCCAGGTGGGGACGTGACACTGGTTGGAGGAAAAGACATCAAGACAATGAGATCCCCCAGTCTGGGCTTCGACAGCAACCCGCAAACTCTTAATGAATGCCAAGTGATGCCACTTGGCCAGCAAGTCTGCACGTACGCCCCTATAATCGCCCGAAGGCTACTGCAACGTTATGATACAACCAGCAGGTAATCCTCTGCAGCCAAGATCCTCACTCCTCATCCTGGGGGTTCGTTTCCCTGCAGGATTTATAGGTAACTCAAGCTCACCCCCTTAATGTCTTAATGACAACAGATACAATGAAGTCTACTACTGCCCTCGAGGTAAAAAATGATACAAACTGAAGAATTCCTAGCCTGTGCTGAATTTCCTGAACTACTTCATGTACTATCAATAGATTCTGGACACAAACTTGGCTTTTTATTATGCATTCACTGTGAACTTTTAGGCTATATTTTTCTCTCACAAGAGAATAAGCATGTTACTTCCCCGCTTCCTAGATTTTTTCTGTTTCGAATTCAGACTGATCCTCCGAAATATTTCCAGGCCGTGGATGATTGCCCCAAACAGTTAAAAAAATCGTGTTATACAAATCATGTTTTAAAAACCAAAAGGTTTTTTAAAGGTTGTCTTGCACTTGGCATAAAAAAAATCATATTCTGTGGCAACTGGATGAACTTGCTCTGTTTCTCTGACACTAAGTCTTTCGTCATTAGACCCTGACAGTGCAATAATGATGATTTTATTTTTCTTTGCTAAAATTTTAAAAAATCCTTTTGTATTATTATTTCTTGTGGTCTCCAATCTCCAATTGATGTGTGTGTCTTGACTTGCAGTCCTGCCTTTGTATTGCTCTATTTTCACTCTGGGAGTGGAAGGGTAAGAAATTGCTGTTTTCTGTTCAGGATGAATTAACGGGGAATTTGGGAAGTCATATGAATAGCCCATGAACATTTTGTGACTCAAGGGGCATTTCATATAAATACTGCCGATTATGCATCACTTTGTATGTAAAGATCTTAAAAATACACTAACTATAAAGTGCTACTATTTTTGCAATGCTAAATAGCCTAGCAGCCAGACCATGCTACAAGTGTTTATTCCAACTTGGGTCTTAATGGCCATAATGTGCTCCATAATGGCTTTAATCTTTTCCTTCCATCTCTTCGGGTGCTGCTGCCTTAAAGAGAACAGAAAACCTGCTTCAGGGCCATGGGGCATATTGGTGCCTGTTTAGTAGTTTAGATGAGATACTCCAGTAAGAAAGGGGTTACCGTAATCTAATCAGGAGTCCAGGATCAAGACTGCCCCACACTCTGTTCCACATCAGCTGGTACTCTAAACAATTGTGTTTGTCATGCTTTGTGCTCTGGGTTTTTCAGCAAAGGTCCCATGAAATTTTCCTGAGAGAAACACGGGACATGTCCTCTTTTTCAACAAAGAAACGACCATGAAAGTCCTTCTGGCTACCAATAATTAACAATTTCATACCAGGACCAAGTGACTCTCCTTGGCCTTACTGTATGTTCACGGTTTTGGGACTGGGAGAGTGTTATTCTGCTTTTAAAGTACAATTATATAACAGCCAATCCAAATCTAGAGTCCTGTCAGGAAAACATGGGGGTATCATACTCCTCCAAGTGCCCCACCATAGTGTGTGACAGGAGAGTTAAAACTGACTGCCAGAGTCCTGGGGTTCGGTCCACTAATGACGGAACAGCCCCTAGGTAGTCCCTGCCTCTGGACTGAAGAGAGCTCAGACCCGGCCCAGAGACACCAGAACCACGAGGCTCAACCCACATGGTCAACAGGGATCTTCAAGTGTTTGGCCTTCTCATGAGACTCGGCATTGAGTTATTTAAGTGAACAATGGCTTGTACTTTCAATTTTGTTTTCACTGTTGTCTATTGCAAAATGATTGACCTTTGCAATAGTGTTCCTGTGAGGCAATTTTTTTTTGGTGTTCAAAAAGTCCCCGATTAGCTGGCAGGAGACTGTGCTAAATTTGCCACATGGAACTGGTAAAGTCAGTGAAGGCAAGAAGAAGAAGGCAGTAAAGTCAGTGAAGAAAGCAGATTTATTCCCATCTTGCCTGCCGTGGTTGGGCACCAGTTGAATTTGGCAGTCATTTATGGCGTGGTGTGTTAATTCCTATCTTTGGAAAGAAACGCCACCTAGCTTGGTATGACTTTCCTTGTGATTGGTTGCTAAAACAAGCCTCCGGGTTCATCGTGAGATTTATTCTCCTGTGCGGCCAATGTCCCTGGTTTAACAAATCACGCTGTCTCATGACAATTGTCCTACTCAGTGGGCTGGAGGTAGCTAAAACTACAGGCAGCACTGGTGCAGTGGTTAGTATTGCTGCCTCGCAATGCTGGGGCCCTGGGTTCAATTCCTGGGGTTCTATTTGTGTGGAGTTTGTATTTTCTTCCCATGTTCACATAAGTTTTCTCAGGGGTGTCCCATATTTCTCACAGTAAGCCCCAGTTAAAAGGCATACTGGTAGGTTAATTGGCTTTTGGGGAAAACTGGCCCTGGTGTGAGTGTGTGCATGTCTGTGTGTGTGTGTGTGTGTGTCTTGTGACGGACTGGCATCTGGTCTGGAGTATACCCCGACTGCTGGGATAGGCTCTGGCTTCCCTGGAACCCAGTACTGGATAGCAACCAGAAAATGGATGGATAAACTAAAAACACAAAAAAAAGACTGTAAAACTGGTAAAAGCCTGACCTGTGTGCCAGAACGAGGTATTATACAAATAGGGTTGCTGTTGTTTTCATAAGCCTTTTACCTCAAAGGCCATAACCTCATGCTGTTGTGCTTTTAGTGCTGCTCCTACCGGCTCTCCGGGTGAACAGCCGAAAGAGAAGGTAATGTATGACTCAGGCATGCAGCCAGTCCTGAAATAACACCCAGCCCAGCGCCCACACCGTGTCCCAGGCCCGGAGCACATCTCTCAGGCAAACAACATACAAAAAAAGATGAGAAGCCGTCTGAGCTACACAAAGTCTCACTTGACAGCCAAAGCCTATTTTTCCCATCCATAAAACCCTCATTAAATTGAACCCCTTTTCCAATTTGTTTAAGCCTAGAAGGCCTCCATGAGATCACTAACCGGGCAGAGTGCCAGGGTGAGAAACCCTCAGTGCATGACATGTGATTTGCAAGCAGTTTCTTTGCTCGGTAGCATAGTTTGCAAGCAGGGTAAAATGCAGTAGTCCTGCGACACTGCAGCAAAATCCTGTGCTAGTTACGCACATGGATGGGAGAAAGGCCCACATGAAACTGGAGGTATCAGCGTCAGAGTAACTGAAAGCCTTACTGCAAGGCCGAGCTGAGGCTTGTGGGAAGCGCTGAGTAAAGAACTGCTGAGGCAAGTGAAAGAGGGATAAAATGAGGCCAAAGGCAGAATGAGTAACAAGAACAACTTGCACTGGCAGAAGCACAGCTTGAAAAAAACATACACAAATGTTTCCTTCCAAATTAACCATGACCTGACTGTGGCCCAGGGCCTAATGCATATATTTCTTCGGTGTTTACAGGTGAACAGTGACAAACAAACCCTTAAGCGGGGCTTCAAAACTCACCTTTCTTGCCCCCGGAAACAGAATGGGGATGAAGCGAAAATTCTTGCTGCCATTCTGGATGAACTCATTCTGCAACTGTAGGAAGATGAGAAAGAGAAAAGCTGCCTATTTGCAAAACAGTTCAATCGTCCAAATTCCCTATAAATCCCAGCTTTCCCAGTCAGTACAAAAACCAAGAAAGAGCAGTTACCCTGCAGCTGTTATATTTGACCTTGGACATAATCTTTGAATATCGTACTACCATATACTGAGCAGCCAAATACATTTCTGCATATATTTATGCATTTATGTTTTAAGAAAAATAAAGTATGCAGATTTTGGAAATTGATTAAATGCTTCTGGACTCATTTTGATTAACTGATCATTCCAGACTGGCTGCTGCAAAAACTAAATCATTGCATGAGCCAATCAGACAGCTGCCTGCGTACAGGTGAATTACAGTAGGTGCACTAAGTTGTTGAAAATCGAGCCAGGAAACATCAAACATGAAAAAACACAGTTATCAAGAGACCAACACAGTGGTGACGTTGATAGATTGTAGCAATGCAGCAGGTGGACTCGCTAGCAGTGGAGCCTAGTCCTGTTAAGTGATAAACAGCTTTGTGCACAGCACCCTGACAGATGTCAGTGACGTCGGGGCACATGTACATACTCTAATTCTTGCATAGAAACGACCAGTCAACAGGAAAGCTTGAGTGTGAAGGGCTTTTTCATGCCTGTCACACACTGAGTTCAACTGTGCAACAGGACAAACATGTGCAATATTAATTTCTCCATCCATTCTTAGGATGAAAAACATGAAGCAGGGTATGGTTAAAAAGTTCGCCAACCACTGCCATAGCTTTAACTAATAGGCTGGACTTGTGTGCTCACTCTTCAGCACAAACAGTTTGGGGCTGCGATTGAAACATGGAATAAGACATAACCAGGCAACTTCAAGCTCAGAAACAGAGTTTTAACATGGCAAGGGGATTGCCAGAGCTTGCTGTTGGTTGGGCCCCATGACAAAACTCACTTCCCCTTTTCCTTGAGAGTAAAGATCTCACTTTTGATACGGTGAGTTGAATTGAACATCAGCTTGTTGTAAGGTGATTGCCCTCATTTTACTTCCCCATTCACCTGCTGCTCAGTTGATCTTCAACGCTCTTTGCTTCAAACTTAAAAAAACAGCCACGCTTAAAAACTTCACACATATTTCTCGTTTCCATGGCTTTTACCCTTGCAACTGTTGTAACAGCTAAAATACAAATTTAGTAGCAAAGAATTTGTATTGGCTCATGTTATGTAATAAAGCACAGCATTTTAAATGGAAGAGTTCTGAGAGTTGTCCTATGTTTATTGTTTTATGTTTATTACACTTTCTTCCATTTCATGAATGAAGAGATCTGTGGGTGTGGTTACCAGCATCGACTTTTCTGCCGAGCTATCAGATTTCAGATAGATCTGAAATATCTAGGTTTCTTCAAAATGGGAACAGATGTTTCTCATCATGACTCACTTTCTGTCAGGTAAGAGAAACTTTACGAATTCATGTTAATCTTGATGTGGATTGGCCCAATTGGAAACCCAGGCCTGTGAAGCTCCTGTTTTTACTAGTCAGCGGAGTGAGCCTAGCAAAAAGTAATGTCAACCATGGTCCTGGTCACCATCACCATGGCAACTGTTCGTCTGTTCTGGCAGTTGCCTGGGGTCATCAGCATGATTATTTACCCTGAATGCACAGAACTACCAAGCGAGCTGGAAGTTGAAGGACATTTGCTATGACGGAGATTAGCACATGCTTTAGAAATGTGAAGAAACTTTCCGATGAGCAGAAGGAGCCAAGAAGGCCTGACAGAGAGGAAGCAGCTGTCAGTTAAAACCACACACACCCAAGTCCTTGAAGCCTGGGCCTGTCTTACGACACAACCACCACCATCTTTGCCGCACTCAAGGCTGACTGAAAAAAAAAACTGAAATGCTCTTTTTCTACAAGCACTGGTGGAAAATGTTTACTACAGCCATCTTGTTTTCCAGCCTCCAGCCAACACTGTCACAACAGGGAAATTACCTCTTAATCCTCTCTGTCAAGCGAAGAAACAGGAGGATTAAAGAAATTCCAAACTGATTTTTGAAAAATGTAACTAATGAAAACAGAACCCTGAGGTGCCTGACTGAGAGATAACACACCTGCGATAAAACAAATCAGCAAACAAAAACCTGTGCCTTGTAAAGGCCTTGTGTCTCTGGTACAGGCCTTCATACAAAAGAGACTGATACAGTATTTACACCACTGGAGCATAAAGTTGTACAATTACAACTACAATTTGTAGGGCTTTTCATCTGAATATTTTAAAACTTTTTTACTTCATCTTACTTTGACACCTGCTAAAAGCATTCTTCTGCAAAAGGTCTGGGATCTTATCCTTCTACAAATTACTGACAATGACCTAGCTGTCTGATTTTCCATGTTTATCTTAACCATAACATTGAAGCTGTTTTTAATTTTTAATTTTGAGAAAAGATGGCAGTTATCGCAGTAATTTTCCCAAAATTGTTACCAAATGTTAATGTTTTGCTCCTGTTAAAAATGTTCAGATGTAAAGATAACATTGAATATAATCTTATTGTATATAAGAATTTTTTTGCTATTAAGTCATGTTTTGGATAGTAATATGAGCAAATTCCCTTATATTAAACAGATTATGTTTTATTACGGCCAGGATTCAATCGCATCAGCTCAAGAGCAGCTCCAGCTGCAAAGCCACACAGACCAATGTCTCTGACAGTGGTGAATTCCCCTATGCCAAAGGGCGCACCCTCCACGACTACTCCCACCATCATCATGAGGGAATTCACCTCTGTTCAGGATCAAAGTGAGGAGATGCCATCATCTGTAATAGATTAAGTACCAAATGAGCCCAGTTACAAATGCAACTTACCTGCTTGTGGATGTAAACCGTGTTCAAAGTGTTTTCGTCGTTTTCCATACTAATGTGAGAATGCGTGACTGTCTCGTAATACTTGGGGCTGATGACTATGATGATCAAGTAGTCTTTCTGCAATAAGGGAAAAAATAAAATATGGATAATAAATGACTGCAGGGTGAAAACAACACACAGGGTTAGTGAACGAACCTATGCCTCTAAGGAGTTAACACTTAGGTCGTCAAGAACTGTTTTACTGTTTTGTGCATTCGCAGCTGGCCTGAGTTTCTTGAGTGGTCTTTCGAGTGGAGGTGTAACTCGTGTATCCTACGCATGAGTTAGCAACATGAATGGGAACAGGGGTTTTGGTTAACTGCCTAAGGGTGACCTAACTGCCAACTTTCAGACCTTGTTTACATCTTACATGGCCAGACACTGCTACTGACCAATCATACAGTAAATGTATGTTTTTGTATGAAAATCTTGCTCATCTTCAAGAATAAAAACCTGTCGCTCGTCTTAGGAAAGTGTATGAGAGATGAGGTTAACCTGTTAACTTCACCTGCCCTCCTTTCTTTATTGCAAGAAAGAAATCGTCAGCTTGATTTACCAGAGTCATGTGGTTTACTGAGAAAAGGGGCTAACATTAGTTAAGCGTGGCCTTATTACTTGTTTCCATCTCCCTTGTAGGCTTCACCATCGGTATTTGGGGATCACCCGATATCAATGAGATAACAACTGGCCTATCAGCAAACACAGCCTATGTGTCTTAGCCCACATCTATGCACAGAAGCAACCTTCTGCTCTTTGGGTTATGGCACGAAGGGTGTGCAAACACTACCAAAGTGAAATGTGCCCGCACCTCGCTGATATACTTCTCCATGAAATCGATTTTGCTGATGCTTTTGAACTGCTGCTCGAACACGTCAATCTGAAAAACAAAAACGAACAAAAACGATTCGCGTGCTGAGGAGGACGCAGAAGAGAAGTGCGTAGGAGAGGTGAATCAGGTGTATCAGTGCTGTACGGAGTTCTGAGTTTGAGAACTGCCCTCAGGCTGCTGTGTGGCCTGAAATATAATCACTTTGATCCCTGCGTAAGGATACAACTTTACCAGTGTCTGAGACAGCATCTTTCCCATCTGTGACTCTTCATCGTGAAATGAATCATCCAGTAAGAGCTGTTTAGTGAGAAATAAGGGCTAGTTGAGGAGAGCAAGTTGTAAAATAAGCAAGCTGAGGCTCTGTGTGCTGAAGTTCTTGAGAAACACTATCCTTGAAATCAGGTATTTTTCACGCTCAGGACTGCAAATAAAGGCCTAAACAAGCAAGCAGATCAATTAAGTCATGAATTAGCACTGGTGATATAGAGCCCAGATGGAATGTGAACCAGCAGAGACAGTGGCATCAAGACAGCTCATGTCACCAGGAAGCTGTGGTTTCCGGTCTTAAAAAGACGCATCAATATGGCCCAGTTGTGTCTTTCCAATGCTATTTAAGGATCAGAGCCCAGAAGCAGTGGCGACGAGGAGTCAATGAGCCACACAATAGAAGAAGGTTCTCAGAAAGTAAAAACCTCAGCGACTTTCGCGCGTCGCAAACCCTTCAACAACGGCTTCCATTCCGCAGTCACCGCTGAAAGCCACCGACCACACTGTGAACAAGAGGTGACAAGAGCAGGGCAGGCCGACTTACGCGCGTGTCAAATCCATTGCGCCGCAGCAAGGCCACAAACTGGATGATCTCGTGAACGTGCTTGTCGCTGTCGGCTTCGTACGTGACAAACACCTTGCCTGCAAAAGACAAGGGAATAACCTTAGCCCGGCGCAGGGATGTTAGATGTTAGGGCAGACGTTAGTCCCACCTCCTTCCAGTCAGGGTAGCGTTCAGCTTTTATCTCCGAACTGAACACCAGCTGTCCACAGCTCTTGATCTTATTTGAGCTGAACATTGCTGCATTAGCTGCCATTACAAAAGGCCTTTTTATTCATGAAGATAAAACCATTACTTGATAAGGGACTATTACTCTGAAACACCTCTTAAATATACGGTAGCTAGGAGCATGACAAGCACATGAAAACTAATATATGTGCCAGCTAAGAAAAACAAATGGCTAACAATGCAGACTAATATCACTGCATGTACTGTACAGGCTGTTGCTGCTCCAACTTTGATTTTTAACAATATCCACCACTGTATATACAGTAGGTCAGCAAATACACTGTTTCTTTTAGATGAACACAAGACAAAGAGCACCACACCCCCCAAATAAGCAAGCCTGTTTCTGTGATTATTTCACTGACCTAAATATGAATCCAACAGGTTAATAAATACAAACTCAAATCCTCTTTTTCATTTCCCCAAATCCACTAGAACAGAGTCCTGTCACATGTGGCCCTGATGTATATCATTACAACCCAAGGCAGGCCTCTGCATGGAAATGAAAGAGTATTTTAGGCAGGTCGCTTTCCATTGCATACACACAGAGATAAACTCTTGAAGACGTTGAACTTGGAAGTGAAATCCAGGAGACTTTTGAGTGCATTGTGATACAGCCACAACAACTAGAAACAACCCTGAGGCAATTAACCATCTTTTCCCTCTTCAGCTGGGTCATTCTGACTATATACTCACGCTGTTCCAGGGGCAGGGGGGAGCTACTCGTTACACTTCTCTTACGCGGGTCTGTGGGGGTGTAAGCGCTAAAATCACAAAGGAAAATCAAGTGAGTTGAAACATCTACAGCATGTTAGGTGCACTGTTACAAGAGAACCAAAATGCACTGTACTATCCATCCAAGCATTTATCCATCCAGCACAGGGTCATGGGGGGAGCCGGAGCCTATCCCAGCAAGCAACAGGCTCAAGGCAGGAAACGCCCTGGACAGGCCACCAGTCCCTGAATCGGAAGAAGCCATTCCAAAATGGATGGATGGATCAACACCAATGATTAAACCTCAGAAGTCTTGTCTTCCGAAACAGTAGCAGATGTCAAAGACAAGCCCAGCATGCTCGCATACCTCTGTGTGGAGTTGGTACCGGGTCTGGTGCAGCCAGCGAGACCTGTGAGGGGGGAGAAGGAAGGCGAGAGAGGAGATGAATGCCACATTCAGCTGGGTGGATGCACAGTGCGCATTTCACGCAAGGTTCACTGCACCCCTCTGAAAAGAAACAAAATGATTGGCTAAGCTCCTCCAGCAGGGGTTTATAAAAGACGGCCAGGGGTCATTTAGATTTTCAGGCAAAGCCTGTAGACTCTTGCAACCTGCCAAGAGCCTACAGGCTTGAGTGATGTCAGATGCTTAGGGCCCTGTAATGAAGATCAAGGCCCCTGAGGGGCCCCTGTAACTGGCTCTTAACCTGGGCCAGCCGAGGAGCTGGTGACCCTTGGTGTAATACATCAAATTGTGAACAACAAAAGTAGTCTTTTCGTTATGAAGCTTATATAGAGAAGAAAAAGTGACATCTATAACAAATATCGGATAATAAATGAACTGGATTAGATTGCTTTACATGATCAATTAGCTACTATAATACTTTATATCGACTGTTGCTGTATAGCTTGTCCTGGGTTGTGACAAGTGACAAACATGTAGTTTTCTCTGCCAAATGATTCTGTATTAAGCACAGTCAAACATGTTCCAATTTTAGCGGGGGTTTTGAGGAAATTGTTGACGCTCATAAAACACAAATATGGGAACTCCAGATGGTGCTGAAGACTTCTGCAGAGTGCTGTATATTTTAAAAAAAGTGCAGCACTTGAGAAAACTTTTATTCCAATGTTTACATCTTCTATGGCTATTAAAAATTATAAAATGAGGTAATCAGCCTGTGGCATTTTCAACTTTTTGCTACAAAACTGTTAAGTTTATAATCTCAAGCAATCAGATCTGCATTGCATAAATCACACAAGTTCTCTCTTAGACATCATGTCCCACTTCCTTTCTGTATACTTTAGATAATCAAAGATCTTATATAACTTATATAACTGAGCAACAAAAACTGTGGCAACTACATTCTGTGTTAGTGTTAAAAATATTCTTATACCATGTAAGTCCTTACACATTTTGTATTTAAATATATCTACATTACGTGTTTCTCTTCTCCTTAACGTACTTTAATTTTTATTGTCTCAGAAAAGGTTTGACTGGTGTATAAACTACCGTCCAAAAACAACAAACACACAGAACAATGAGACAAAGTAGGCATGGACTAACAATGCCCAATTAATACCCTGGAAGTGGTTTTTGGCAGTGCTCCCACAGCCACGCATTGTCACCTGAGGACAGGTGTTTGATCAGTGAAGGCGAGGCCCAAAAGCAGCAGCCCCAACTTGTCTTGAAACACAGACACCCAGAGGGTTTTTTTAATACTGCAACATGCACAGTGGTTAGCACTGTTGCTTCGCAGTACTGGGACACCGAGACCAGCTCTACACCCTAGGGTGCAATCCGTGTGGAGTTTGCATGTTCTCCCCCAATGTTCACGTGAGTTTTCTCAGCGTGCTCCAGTTTCCTCCCACAGCCCAAAAACATACTGGTGGGTTAATTGGCTTCTGGGAAAACTGGCGTGAGTGTCTGTGTCTGTGTGTGGCCCTGTGATGGACTGGCGTCCCGTCCAGGGTGTATCCTGCCTTGTGGCTTTTGCTTGCCAGGATAGCCTCGGCCTCCCCAGCAACACTGAAAGCAGTTAGAAAATGGATAGATGGGTTGTGTATAGTAGAGACTGGAGGAACCTATGTCTGTTAGGAGTTACCAATTAGGGCCCTCAAAAACAGTTTTGTGCCTTCCCAGCTGGCCTAAGTTTCTTCAAGGTCTTTTCTTTCAAGCGGAGGCATAACTCATGTATCCTACGCTTAACTCTGCAATGTGAAAGGAAACAGGGTCTGAGCTAATTAGGGACTTAACTGTCCAAAGGTGACCTAACTGCCAACTTTCTGACCTTGTTTATACCTTATATGGTCACAAACTGCTACTGGAACTTTTGCTCATCTTCAAGAATAAAAGCCTGTTAATGTCCTTAGGAAATTGAGTGAGAGATGAGGTAACTTCGACAATTCACTTTTTTATTGCAATAAAGAAATCTCCAGCTTGATTTATGTTATTGAGTTATGTGGTTTACCGAGAAACGGGTTCAACAAGACTCATCATTAAATCATAATTTAAAGAGGAGGGTGGCGGAAGATCTGCCAACTTGTGTTTTATGGACGGATGCTTTAGGAATAATATTTTCCCCATTTTTACTGCTTTAAGCAAGCCCTAGAAAACAACACTCTCAAGCAATTTGATGTAGTATACAGTAAATGCCCCTGCAATTTGTTTAGTTATTGATACTGTATGTACCCGATTTATTCCCATCGTGCCTCTTTCCTTTGTTAAGAATCTAGACTTTGCCTCTTATCCCACGTGTTCCCGCTGAAGTCAAGCCCTGAAATCCAAGACGCGTCCTCCCCATCCCCAGTAAGACCAGTCCCTGCCTCTGAGTGCACTCACCTGGGGGGTGGCAGGGCAGGGGGTATCCAGCTCGGGGACTATGGTGAGGTGCTGCGGCCATCCCGTACCTGTCATTAGGGCACTGCTGACAGCAGCCAGCACCCCCAGGCCAGCAGGGGTACGGGGTCAAGAAGGGGCCGTGCCCAGCCAATGGGGGAGGTACAGAGCGTAGCGACTGGGGTGGCTCCAGGCAGCTGAGGCTGGGGCTGTGCCGGCCTGGGGTAAATGAGTAGGGCGAATGCCCGCTGACGGGATAGCAGTCTTGCCTGTAGTAGCTGAGGTATTCTCCAGAGGGCGGGCAGGAGGCCAGGCTGTTGGGGTATCCCCCGCCGGAGCAGCACCCACTGCTGGTGAAGCTGGGCTGATACCAGTGTCCCATGTGGGGGTCGCCGGCCTGGCTAGGGAAAGGGGTCAGCTGGTCGTACCCAGATGGGAGGCTGTCCTGCTGCTGGCAGGGCCCGAGGCGCCGCGGCGCGTCGGCTGCCCTGCACGGGCCCACCTCCGCCATCCCTGTCAGGCTGCTGAGGGGGGAGTGGCTCTGGGGGCTGGCGTACGGGTCCGAGTGCGTGCTGGGCAGGGAGTCGTCGCTCACGGTCTCGTCGTTCTCTTCGGGGCGGTTCGCCAAGCCCGGGAGGCCGTGGGCATTCAGGTTAGTCATGTACCTGGGAGCAGGGCAGGAAAAAAGCGACAAGTGAGCCCAGGCGCCGCAGGAACTTGAATTGCGCCCTCTCCCCGTTTCGCGTTTCTCGAGAAGTGCCACTGGGTAACCTGGCAACGCTAACACACCGTGTCAGAGCAGCAGAAGCGAGGACAGTTTTCTGTATGCAAGTCCCCCTGTGGTGCATTAATTGATTAATTAATAAGCGGTGAAGGACTGAGAAGCACATTTTCATATAATTCATAATTCCTTACACAGGGACTCCCCTCCACCACCACCATGTGCAGCATCCACCTGGATGATGCAATGGGAGCCATAGTGCGCCAGAACGCTCACCACACCCCAGCCAGCTATCAGTGGGGAGGAGAGCAGACTAATGTAGCCAGTTCATAGATGGGGATTATTAGGAGGCTATGACTGGTAAAGGCCAATGGGAAATTTGGCCAGGACACCAGGGTAACACCCCTATGCTTTTCAAGACATGCCTTGGAATTTTTAGTGACCACATGTGAGTCAGGACTTTGGTTTTATGTCTCATCCAAATGATGTCGCCTTCTTACAGTATAGTGCCCCTGTCACTATATTAGGGCATTAAGACCCACACAGGCTGCAGGGTGAGCGCCCCCTACTGATTCCACTAACACCTCTTCCAGCAGCAACCTTAATTTTTCCCAGGAGGTCTCCCATCCAGGTACTGACCAGGCTCACACCTGCTGAGCTTCACTATGTTGCCAGTTATGACCTGCAGGGTGATATAGCTGACAGTGTTAGCAAATGGTGGTAGCTGGGGCTTGTTGAGTTTGGAGTAAGTCTGTGTGCATATAGAGTGAAGAGTTTTATAAAATAAAGACTCCTTGCATCGTAATTTTCCATGAGCTCAGGTGTGACGAGCCTCTTGCAGAGTAGTAGGCTTGTCTAAAAAAAAAGGACCCAAAACCACAGAGGTTTGCCACAGTCACCTCTCTTTGCAGAACTGCTTTTCAAGAGCAGAGTTTGGCCACAGCCAGTGCTGCATATTACACAAAGCCAAACATCCACTCAGTGCAACAGAGTCTTTTCTCGAAACACAGACTTGAATGTCTTAATTGCTCGATCTTTCATTTTGGAAACTCAAACTACAGTACACACCTCTTGTTAAAAAAAACTTTAGTCCACACACCAGTCTACATACAGTAGCAGGTTGAGGTTTTCTCAGTATTGTGTCGCCTAAAGCACGTCAGACAAAAAACAAGCAGTTTTAGTTATTTTAAGACAACCTCATCAGTTAATGAGACAATCATACCATAAGCTGACACTGCATGGCCTGTGCATGATTTATTAATATCGCTTTTTCTTACAGAAGAATAGTAAGAAAATTAGTCATTTTGTGGTTCAAGTATGTAGATTGCTCATTTTTGAAGGATGCATCAGAAAGAAATTGACAGTGACAAAATGTAAATTAAGAATGGATTGGGCTAATGCAGACGTATTAACCATCATGCTTTGATTGATGAGAGGATAATGATGAAGGGATTTATACCAGGAATACATCTTACTGTATGTGTAAATGTCCAGCAATATTTTTCCAAAGCTCAGATCTGATGACACAGCTTAGGTTCTGTTGTTCATGCACAGGGATGTTATGTTGTTTTAAAACAAATTAAAACATTTAAAAAAAAGAAAAAAGGCTAAAAAATAAACCACCCCTTAGAACCACACCTGCTGAACACCTCAGAGGGTGTTGGGGGGAAAGGAGAAAGTATTCAACACAGTCCCGGTAGTCTGACATCATCGAGAACATAAATTTGACCCTTCAGGGTGTCTTAAGAAGCACAGTACAAACTGTACAGCCCTGAGGAAGTCACATTGTAGGCAAAACATTGTGAAAAAAATCAATCAACTGACAGGGAGGAAATAAGAAGCACTGGATAAGAAATTCAGGATTTTAATGTGAAAAACAAACACAAGCAATGATTTGTCTTTGGCATGTGAAATCTTAATGAAATCTAGATTTGGAGTTTGACAAAACATGGTTCTAAATTAAGGGTAGGAATGTTCTTTTGCTTTGTTGTGAATACAAACAATTTCTTATTTTCGAGATAATTAGCCTTATTCCATTTGGTTAGCTATTTTACATCAATTTTGCTAGATACTTTAGTACTTTAGGCACTTCAAGAAAATCCTTGTTTTTCTCATATCAATTTCCCTTCGGGATCAATAAAGTCTTGTCTTATGTATTTCCCAGCCCGCAGATCTTTTCCTTTATTTGTCACAGAATGTGTCATGGTAAGAAATTAGGAAACTTTTGAGCCAAGGGCCATAAATGGACTAGCCCAAATCTTCTGAAGGGGTTACAGAGTGCCAGACTGTATCAGATAAACTTTAAGCATGAACACAATCCTCTCCATTTTCTTATCAGGTTCAATACCTCGCGTTTATGGGGGCTTTGACGTGCTCTGGAGCTCAGTGTCATGACACAATGTGCCAAGTTGGAAAAGGGTGTGTTCCGGTTGCTAATAAACTCTGGTCAGAGCTCTGGAAGGACTGCATCATCTCAAATAGGAAAACAATGTGTCAAAATGCACGTTAACCCTTTTTTGCCCTTCCACCGATAAAGGGATCTCTCTTCCTACAGACAAAGTACATAAAAACTGTGAGACCTGCTACTATCAACATGTTGAAGTTCAAGCAGGGAGCTGTGTCAGCATGCGGAGGCTGCAAAGGGACAGGTAAAGGTTTATTCCATGATGAAAGGAAAAGAAGAAGACCTGAAGAAGACTCCACAGCCGAAAGAGTTGAGTCTCTTTTCTTCTCCGTTCTGCATTGAATAAACCTGTTCATTTACTATCCATTTGGTTATTCTTTTGCTCTTATGATTCTCAGTGCTGGGCGGCAGTGCACTGGTTAGCATTGTTATCTGCAGTTCTGGGGCCCTGGGTTCAATTTTGGACCTGGGGTTATGTCTGTGTGGAGTCTGTATGTTCTCCCCAAGCGTGCCCTGTGAGGGATTGGTGTGTGTGTTACACCTGTTGCTTGCTGGGATAGGAGCTTGCCCCCCCCGAGACCCTGAATTGGACGAAGTGGTTAGAAAATGCAGGGATCTCAGTGTTAGCAGGATCCTTGTTTTCCGTTTTATGATTATGTTTCCTGGGGAGGGGGATCAGACTGAGTCCCCCCATCACGGCACACGAACAATAGTGTTTTCGGCTCTAAATATCTGTTATTCATTAAAAGTCGAGCTCCAAACCTCAGAAAAGCAAACACATGGTACAGGATATTAACACTGATAAGGTAGTGGAATACTGTAACTGGTGTTAATACTGTTCTAACGCATATTTGTTCATATGTTTTATGATACATCACACAGTAGCTCTTTCAAACAGCCTGCCGCATAACATGACATCTGTGTAACACACTGCTCCACTGACCCTACAGGATTGTAAGGTTTAAAAAAAAAACCATAAAAACCACCAGGCACAAAAGAATAGCTTCCCACCCAGGACCCATAAACATTAACCACAGACACAATAATCACACAGTGTTTCTCTTTAATTAATATCTAATCCCTACAGAACACATGATTCAGTAAAAATAGGAGCCACATGGAACTTTCACCATCATGCTAAATTTATACTTTTATTAATAACAATGAACACGCAAAGTTCCATATTAACCTTATTTAAGTATTATGTAAATTAATAAATGAAATATAGCAAAGGAGGAATGAACCAGATAGAAAAGGAGAAAGGAAACAGACTGCAAGAGATGGGTACAGTTCAGGAGAATGCCATCCTGCCACTGCATTATCTAGAATAGCCAGACTAGCCAAAACCGGTGAAGCACCACCTACCAGCTTCATGGGAATGATGAACTGTTTTTCTTCTAGTAGAAAAGATTGCTAAACAGTGGAGCAACATGTCTTACTGTTTAAGAAAGGAGAAGGAGGGAGGACGGGTTAAACTGAAAAGGAAATGTAATTCTAGACCCAAAAACCGACAGATTACAGCAATTTCTCACTAACTTTACCGTCAAGCTCCTCTGTGCGCTCTGCAGCCCCACCGTGGCTGACCCGAGACACAGGCCGCATGCTGCTGCTCTGTTTCACAAGCACCTGGTTTTGTGCAACTGATGTCACAGTGCGTTGCGTAACCTAGCACCGAGCTTCACCCAAGGCTGACAGCTATCCATGTACTTAACTTAAATTAACTAGTTAACTATAGTTAACAGCATAACTGTTACCCACAACTATTTAAGGTGGAGAGAGGTACAGTACGTGTTCTTTTACCAGTCAATATTATGAAATATAGTTATGCAATTTGTTTTGGTAAAGATTCCAGACACCCTGAGACGTGCTCTGTCAATATGTCCACCTTATTCTATACTAAATCACATTAAATCAGTTTAAATTAGATACATCAGCTGTCCGACAGCATTATATTTTAGAGTCATCAAACAAAAAACAAACCAGTCCAGACCTGCCACTAGATCTAGTATTGATTTTTCTGTACACTGTATGTTTAAACAACTCTTAAGTACAATAGGTGGTTTTCTCTACATGCATAAATACTACTTAGTGTCAAAGAAAAGTTTTGTGTTTACTTAAGAGCACCTGGACAATCCTCAAAACTACTGGAGGAAGGTTCTCGGGAATGATAAATCAGAACTGGAACTTTTTGGCAACAAAGAGAAAAGGTTTGTGTGTCAAAAGCCAAACTCTACTTTCCAAGAAGAACCTCATCCTAACTGTCAAGCATGCTGGTGGCAGGATCATGGTTTGGGGCTGCTTTGCTGACAGTGATCCTAAAAATACAAACAGATCCATAACAAAATACCTGAAGAAGAAGAAATTTCTCATTTTGGATTAGCCAAGTCAAAGTCCTGGTCTGAACCCCATTGAAATGTTCTGATAGAACCTGAAGCAAATTGTTCATGCAAGAAAACCCTCAAATATCATCGACTTTAAATGATTCAGTGAGGTAGAATTGGCCAAAATTAATAAACGTCAACGCAAGAGACTGATAAACAGTTACGGGACAGTTCTGGTTGAAGTCACTGCTGCTCCAGAAGGAGGCATCAGTTACTGAATCTACGGGCTTTCATACTTATTCACACAAGAATATTTACTGTTGGATCTTTCTGTAAATTAAATAACCCAAAAATCCTTCCAGTATAAAATATACAGGAATAGAGACCAACCTAGGGAATCTGCAAACTTTTTCTGGGCAATGTTTTCCTTAAAATCTCCCACCATTGGAAATGAGACCTCCAGAGAGTAAAGACAGATTTGCGAGAAGACCGGTGCCCTCTCAGCAACAAAATGGACAAGGGGACTACCTTTCTGCTGTCCTCTGCTGAAGGGAGGGTAACATCATCATGGCCCACTGCACAGAAACCCTCACCGTCACTGTTAATCCCTGGGGACAGTCCGAGGCCTGCAACACACAGAAGGGCAGAACTGGCTGAAATCCATTTTTTCTCTCAGTCTCGGCACATGACACAGTTTAACCCTCTTGCAGTCCCTGCCCTGTACTTTCTCCAAGATGCTTCTGCTGGCACTGTAACGAGATCGCGGTTCCGTCATTAGTGTTTACTAACAATAAGCAAAGGGATTTGCAACAGCAGTGGCTCTTGTTTCAGGTTCATGTTTCTCACCAAAGGCTGGGTTTCCAGTGGATTTCAGTGTGAGGGATCTCACCATTAAGCAGGTGAAAGGTTAAGCAGTTAAGGTTTTCTTTCCTGGCTTGGAACAACACAGAAAGCAGAGCTCACAACACATCAGAGCAGTTGCTAGTTCTGGACTTCTTCCTCAGGACAGTAACCAAATACAAACCTGGACTTGACCCAAACCATTACACGTCAGAATGGAACCCAGTGCTTTTTGGTAGAAATCTTAAATGATTTCCATTTTTTCTTGGAGAAAATTCATTTTTTTATGATTCAACAGCCTTTCAAATAGATGGTGCAGTATGATAAGCCCTTACAAGCCTAAAATGTTTCTTCCAACCACAAGATCACTGACCGTAAAGCTGTCTGTGAAACAGAATGCACTCAAGAGAGCATAACAAGATAAACCCGACAGCAGAATACAGACACAATCAGTATGAGCTGAGTATGAGAAGAGTCAGAGCACAGCTGATACAGAACTGAGAACAGCGAGGTGGTCTGTCAAAAAGTCAAGAGCAGGTTTGGAAACATGACGCTCAGCAGTTTCCAAAGAAAGGCTTCAGCCCCTAACACCCACAGAAGGAAGTAAAATATAAAAGCTTCCATTAATTACAGTTAAGACCCACCAACCTACTTTACAATAGCACCTAGCATAGTGCAGATTGTAATGGACATGACAGAAGTCTTCAAATGTTTTTTGGCATAATTCAACCAGTAACGTAAGTTTTGGGCATAAGGCCCTTCAGCAGAGTTTATAGCTTAGCAACACATGTTTTGTTTTTCTTTTTCTTTTTCCTCGTCTGTGAGCACTCATTACCTGTGGTAATGGTCTGAGGGTTGTGTGGTGGAGCTTCGGTATTTATTGATGACACCAGAGTAGTTTCAAACTTACTCAAAGCAGGACTGATGAGGTGCTTTTGTACTCCTCATTCAGAAAGAAGAATAAACAACAGTAATAAATATCCACTGCTGCCATAGAGTGGTGACACATTAAGCCAAGAAAGGACTTTCAAAATGCAGTCTAATGTGTTCTTAATTTCCTGCCATCATTGTCAGCCAGCCCCAAATTCCCTGATCTTGAAGTCTCTTGTTGAGGCATGTAGAAACTGGCATCCCAGTATAAATCAATACCTGCTCTCATTCTAGCAATCAAACTTGCAGTCGATAGTGGAAAAAGAGAATGGAAATCTCTTCAACAAGAAAAATTGTGAGGTTGATGGCGTTGCTTTTGAGTCTTAGTTAAAAACTGCCACTGTCTCAAAAAAATAAACACTGGATCGTCTAATCAAAGCCCTTTGGTTGTCTCATGCTTAATACTTGGGGTCATTCTTAACTAGTTAATCCACATTTTCCCCCTCCTTTCCAGCTCATTACTTTACTTTTACTATGGTACATGACCATTAAGATGATGTCTCGAGAGTTCGACACTCGCACGGTTTGATTTTTGCATGAGCCAGCGAGAAGGCAGGCTCTTGACTGTATCCGCCTCGATTGCAAAATAGTGGCTAAAATTCCCGAATTCCATGAAAATGAAAAAAAACTATGTTCTCCCCTACCAAGCCTGTATGACATTTGGCTAGCTGTGCACCTTAATGTTTCTGTATTGTCTGAAAGAAAAACAAGTACACATTTTACTCTGTTAGTGATAAAGCCTCGTAAACATCTAGACAATGTTTATGAAAGAGCACAAAAACAGGAGAGGGGGCTGTCCAATCCAGTGCAAGTCATTTAAGACTAGGCAGTATGGATACGTCTTGCACTTAATTTATTGTTTAAAGGGAAAGTAACACTCAGTCATATTAAGGGAACTCTCTTCAGCCTGGAACAGAGGATTACAGGGGGAATGATTTAGGCATTCCCAGTCCTGAATGTCAGTGACCTGGTCAGTACAGATGAGACCTTCTCAAGACCAGTATCAATACAGATGTAAGGTGCAAATTAAGATAAGGATTATTCAGAATCCAGGACATGCTTCTGAACACAGAAAACTGTAGGAGTTCATAAACAACTCCTTAGCCATGATGTCAAATCTGACTCCCATGGAACTTTTAACAAGATCCTTGATGGAATCCTTATCAGTCAAACTATCACAATTGTTTTGTTTACACAGAAATGAAACAAGCCGATTTCACAAATAACCTCCAGACTGGGAACTCATATGGTGGAAGGAGTTGGTATTCCTTTATGCATGACGTTTTCTATTAGCAAAAGTAGTTTCCACATTTAAACACAGAGCCCTCAATCTTTTACAATCGGACTGTACACTGAAGGACAGAGGTCGACTCGTTACCAGTAAGAACTGCTAATATGTTCCACTCACCCACCCATTTCATGTCACTTTTTTTCTGTCTGCTCAATCTCTTTCCACAGACTTTCCCTCGTTCTCGGGGTTTTCTCTCAAGAAGGAATCTGGCTTCTGTGCGTCCACTGCATGTTCCAAATTTAAAGACCTACATCTAACCTAAAAGTCAGATAACCTGGTTGTGTGAAAAAAGCCCCAGTCAGGCAAACTTCCATATGAGTAATACTGAGCCCATACCAAAGGATGCAGCTCTTGTCAGGAGTCTGACTGGCATAGGCAGCATTGTGAAGCCTGGACTGGATCAGGCTGCTAGGAACTGGGATTTAAATTGGCTGTAATACAGCTCTATAAGGAACGTGAACACAACATGGTCTAATTCCTTTCACAAAGAGGCAATTAGTCTGTTTCAAATGCCACCAATCAAAAAGTCGGTCTTCATTTCAAATTGAGGGAATACAGTGATGTGATATTGCCAACTAGTTTTGTTGTGACTCGTAAACGTTTTAAGTGCCTTTTAGGATTTATTTTTAATGAAGGATGTCATGAGCTGTCTCCAAAATTAATTTAGCATAATTCTTTCTGCTGAATCCTGTACAAGTAACACCTGAGAACTGCCTGTGTAAGATGACAGGCACTCTTCTTATGGTGGATAATGTTTCCATAGAAATGTGACCCAGACTTTTAAAACTTGTCTGTTTTCCCATGACCCCAGACCAGTAATGTAAAAGTGTTCTACATTTCTCCCAGTTTATATTACTGCATCTCTGCAGGGCCTGCCATATTTTCTCCCTGACACAGCTCAGTAATCTTTTTAAGAGTGGTGAAAGGAGTCAAATTTGTCAAATGTCAACCTGAATTTACTACACAAAACAAAATCAGAGTAATTTCTAATCCAGGACAGCTTTTGGTCAGAGATGAGACACGTTTTCTGTTTACTGATCTGACGGGACCTGACGGAACTCATCAGCAAGAATCGCAGATGAGGTATCGTTCGAAAATGAAGAGAGAGACTCGCAAAGCCATCAAAACGACCGGCCAAGAGGAAACAAGGTACTGGGGAAGACACCCACCACCTTTCCCACCAACAAAGCTTTATTTTTGCTCTCTAAAGGTCAATTTTATAGCAACCCAATACATTTTCCAGTGGAGACAAAATACAGTGACATAATCTGTGACCCAGGCAGGAGGTGAAAGATGAAAAACTATCTGTGCAGGAAGCTCACTTTCAAACACCCTCTCTCTTACGCACACACTGAAAGTACATCTGAAACTCTTGTCGTGCTGTGGCTCAGAAGCTGTGGCACGACTACTAATTTCAATTAGACTCAGTAAAACACAGGAGAGACACCCCCATAAATGCTACAGTATGTGCACAGAAAAAATAGATGTGGGTTTAGGTATTGACTTTGAGTGCATTTTAACAACCTATCAATTGAGCTATTCGTTATTCCAATACTGATCATAAACTAATAAAAGAATTGATTACACATTTAAAGTACTCATTTGCCATCTTCTCTTCATTCATACATTCTGATCTCGCCTACCATTGTTGTCATTGCCTCTCCCTACCCTCTTCCCTCCCTCCTCGTCTTCTTTCTCCGGGCTGTCTGTAACCCCCTGCTTCTTTCTTGCCCCTCAGGGTGAAATGAACTACCGCCAGAAGCCCTTCAGAGCCCTGGTCAGGAGTCTCTGTTTAGACCTGAGGGACCTCCAGTGCAGGTTCTGGAAGACCAGGTGGGTCTGCTGCTTTTCAAGTCTCTTCAAAACACCACAAATTGAGAACCTCAGATATTCAATCACAGCATGTTGACTGTCAAGGGCATGGTGCTTTCAGAGAAATTAAACATTTGGCACTGAATATTAAGCGGCTCTAAATTCTACTTTCTAAAACACAACAGCACACAAAAAACCGAAACTCCCTATAAACTGAAAAAACGTGCTGAGTTTTCTCAAAATGTTAGCCACTGTGATTTTTAAGGGCGGCCATGTTCTTTTACATTTATCCATCCATCATTCTTCTAACTGCTTCTCCCAATTCAGGATCGCGGGTGAGCTGGAGCCTAATCTGGCAAGCAAAGTGCGCAAGGCTGGGTACTTCCTGAATGGGGATGCCAGTTCATAGCAGGACAGACTCAGACACACTCTCACTCACACCAGGGTTAATTTTTCCCAGGAGCCAATTAACCTACTGTACCAGTTTCTCTCTGGGGCATTTCCGCTGTGAGAGGAAACCGGAGCACCTAGAGGAATCCCACCTAAACATGGGGAGCACATACAAACTCCACGCAGATAGCACCACAGGTCCGGAACTGAATGCAGGACCTCAGCACGATGTTGGTCCACAAGCTCAGAGTCAGTGGAGGAACCATGCCTGCAAATACAGAAGTGTCACCCCAGCTCTGGAACAGGGCAAGGACGAGAGGAGGCCAGTGGCCCATCTACCCCATCACTCAGGAAGCAGGAACA